TAGGCGGCGGTGCCGGTGGGTGGCTGTGAGCGGCCCTGCCACGGAGGGAGGGACGTGCAGGTGCCCTCGGGCACAGGGGTAGGCGAGGCCGGCGAGCCTCAGGGCCGAGCTAAGGGAGGGCTTGTATACACGCACAGCCAGGCCCGAGCTCTGTTTTCTGGATGGGTTACCCTGTTACCTTGGGAGTGGAAATAAACCTGCGTTTATTTTAATTTTATTATTAAAGGGCTACCCCAGCAAAGGCCTTGGAGGCTGTTCCCCAAAGACATGCATTGCTGCTGGAGCACCAGGAGCAGCCGTTCTAAGGAAACAAGCAAAATAAATTACACCCATGCAAGACGATGGCTTCTTGAGTTTTTCATTTAAGTTCGTGACAAACTACTGCAATTTGCCACACAGAATCACTTTTGGTTATTTAAACAAACCCATGCATTACATGTTTTATCTGTATAGCACACATGGGATAATTACATGAAGAGTGATCAAATTACTGTTCACTCACACCAGGATAAACACTAATGGTATTAACATTAAACACAGGCCCCTTTACAGTAATACTTCATTAGGGATAGGAAGACCTGTAAGACCAGCTTGTATGCTTTCCATCATGTTTTCCATCATAAGACGGCGTGTCTTTTTGGTGGCACTTCCAATGTGAGGAGTTATTATAACATTCTTCATCTTTAACAAAGGGTGACCCCTAGAAAAGGAAAAGAAATTCTGAGCTAGTCACTCAAAGAGCATTCATCTGTTATTTCGTCACCCGAAGGGAGCCAGGGAAATAGTTTTTAAAATAATTTTTAAAAATAAACCAATTGCATGACCCAAGCATACTGAGAAGAGTTCAAATGGCTGCCTAGCTTGCGGGTTTTTTTAAGCAACAAATCTTCCAAATGAGTCAGTGTGAATTTTGTTGGGCTAGGACGGAAGGAGCGGGGGCGTTGTTTCAGTGGGACTAGTGCATATACATCAGGTACTCCTACTAACAGAATTATGTAACTTCTCACGTGCTCACAAACTCGTACTTAGTTTGAACCACAGACATACACTCACTTATATTTAACTTAAATACTTGTCCTACCTTGGCAAAGGTTCAGGATATGTGACATCCAGAGCAGCCGCCTTAATAACGTGGTTTTGAAGGGCTTCCACCAAAGCATCCTGATCCACAACCAGACCTGGGTTACACCAAGAAGGACACTCTTATTCCCATATTCTGTCCCAGTCTCTCCTCATCCATGTGGGCACGGTGGTCAGGCAAAGAGCAGGGCTAGCAATGCTCACAGAGCAGAAGCAGCAGCAGAGAGAGGGTGGTGAAGCAGGAAGAGGAAGCTAGGATACGTGCACCAAGGTTGGACAGGCAGGAATTTTAAAAGGCAGTACATAGCACCATAAAACAAAGCTCAATGACAGACTTCAGAGTGGGCTGTGCCACCCTGAGGTACGTTAGCAACAACATTGCACTAAATAAATAAAGAGCTTAAGGAGGAGATTATACAATTATACATGGGCATCTAACACTCCAAGATCACTGACATTTGAGAGACCTACTTGCTCATAAGTATGGAAATGCTTAAATGTTTTGCTGAGATACGACCACAGACATCAAAATAATCCAGTAATCAGAGAATTTACTGAAAACTTTACTGTGACAGACTCTATATTAGGGTTGGGTTTTCTCAGGACGTTTTATGCCAGCAAACCATAATACAGTTTTGTTTATTCTGCACCCTACCTCTGCTGATATTAATGAGAGTGGCTGTGGGTTTCATCAGCTGCAGCTGCCTCTTCCCAATCAGTTTGTGTGTCTGTGGGGTCAGGTTCACAGAGAGCAACACAAAATCTGACTGCTGGAGCAAATCATCTATCTTCTTACAGTAAATAGCCCCAACGGCACTTTCTTCTTCCTTGTTTCTGAGGGTAAAAGCCCAAAATTAAACTCTAGTAGTAAGCAACAAGAAAAAGTTAGGATCACCATTAGTGAAAAGGTTTCCTAATTGTTTTCTTCATTCCATTGTACAAAGCAGTTAGCCAGTTATCTGACTGAAACTCAATAAAGAAAAATGTTGAGCTGTATCCCACAATACCAAGTGCACTATACACAAATGTGTAGTACTATACCTGTGGGGATGGAAGGCAAGAAATGAGTATCACGTAAATGCACTGAATAAATAATACCATAAATGCATTTGTGTCACAGCTTCTGCTTGTAATGGGGATTCTTTTTCAATCCAAAAGCAAGACTGATGTTTGATATGAATTCCCTTTCTTATGAAAAGTAACTCATCTGAAAATTACTGAGGAAACCCACAATACAGGGCAAGGGTTAAATCTTCAGAAATTGGTGTCAGCAGAAGTCTACTCTGTGCATCACTGAAACCACATGCTGGAGGACCTGCTGGTGCATTTGATCTGTATCAGGACAAGGTTGGGACATGTACTGCCTGCATCCCAACAGGTTCCCACAAAAGAAAAGGATGGGATGGGCCTGATGGGAGTCACAGTATATGTGAAGGGCACATGCACCTCATCTAGAAGATGGCAAATGGGCTGGCGAGTCTGGCTCTTCATTGTCAGCTCGCTCCGAGAGGGCGAGATGTCTCTGCCTGCATGGCTGCTGCACCCACATCACAGGAGATACATCCTCCCAGACTACTCCTCCTTTCCTCATGTCCTGGTTTGAGCTAAATAGAATTAATTTTCTATTTAGTGATTTTACTTTTCAGCTCAGTCTCTTCTAAGTGGCTGAACTTGCTGAAACTAGCAGCGTGTTTTTCCAGTATGTGCTGCTAGAAGATATGCTCAAGACCAGTTGTCCCACCATGGGTGTCGTGTCTGCACCTACAGGGGTGGGGAAGTGGACCCAAAGCTGACCGACGAGGTATTCCATCCCACATACGTCATACTCGGTATAAAGCCGAGGGATCACGAGGGTCTCGGCCCTTCTTCCATCTTGGAGCCCTTCCATCTTGGACCCTTCCGTCCGTCTCGACCCCTTCAATGGCCAGTATCGGAGCAGAACCCTGCTGGTTCGTCTGCCTCTGATTCTAATCCATGTGTTCCTGCATCCTGCTCCCACCTGCTGCTGAGTTCGGTCTGGGACTTTTCCAGTGCCCTGCGCTGCAGAGCCTCTGATGACGTATTCGTCATTGGGGGGAGGGTGGGGGGAAGATTTTATATTGGTTTTGTATATATTTGTACATATCTTTATATATTTTATTATTTTCCTATTTACATTATTATACTGTATTATTAGTATTATTGTTTTATTAAACCTGTTAGTTTTCTTTTCCAACCCATAAAGTCTTTCTCCCTTATTCTCTTTTCCCTTCTGGGGAGGGGAGAGGGGTTAATAGAGAGCATCTG